TGTTTGGGACACAGTTCACAAAATAAATGGAAATAGTAAACGCGACGTTTGCGAATGGCCATCTGAGAATGTGGACGATGTCAAAATGTTCAATTTTTAATCCAAATTCTGTCACACGTTGCATGGAACCCATAACGAACACGGCATAGCGCGAATACTGTTGCGTTTTAAACAGTAATTATTACATACGTTAAAAAAAAAACACGATAAAATGGGTGACTTATCTAAGATGACGTGTAATATTCTCCTCCAATTCATCAAGTCAGTATAGCTATATATTCCCGCAAACAGAAACAATCCAACGAAACTAATTGATGTCGTAGAATGACGTTTCATCAATTTCTAATCTTAAAACAGCGCAATTAATTACAAAAACAAACATGTCATATTAAAAAAAACTGCATTTATGCTCGCTAATACGAGCATAGTTCGTTGTTACCTTACGACCTTATTTGTCACGATAAAAAGACATGATCTGTCTTCATTACGGGGCGACAGGAACCGTTAGTTATTTAACAACCTTCTATAAACCTGTATAAAGCGGTACCAATTGCTCTCACCGGGGAGTATTAATAGATACATAAAGACACACCATCCATTTACTAGATGGCTATTCCATGTATTATACGTTTTTTTCGTCTTCTCGGACTATAATTTGAACCACTTTCCAGATAATACGTTACATTACAATTATGACGTCACATGCGACGAATCTGTTTAGATGAGTGTGCAACGTATGTTGCTATAGATGTCTCTACTCTATGTCAGCCCGCGGCGATCTGTCATGCAAGAGACGTACGTGGTTTCAAAATTGTGAAAATTATTTTCTGTGCAGTTCGACAGTCTTTGATGTCTTTGTTGCTGAAACGCAGGCAGACTTTTGCTGTTCCGACATGTTTTTTTTTGTGTAAAATGCTGTACTGTATTATGGTGGTCATACATGACTTAGTGTTTTATCCATTTTTAAAGAGACAATGTAGATGACTTTGAATATTGTTGTTGTCTTAGAAGTAACCAATAATACTGTACGTCAAATCAAAGTAAACATGTACTACGCATGCATGACTTGAATCACGTCTATGCCGACCCTCGATTTAAATCAGGACACGGGCCCGCCACAACTACGGGAGCAGCGCCATATAAAGTTGTCTTACATGAAGGATAGAAATCCAATAAGAACAACAATATTTTAAGAATATTTTTAACTGCGCCTCGGGTATCCAGTTAACATGTGGCTTCAAACTTAAATAGTTCAGAGGATTTACGTCATGTTTCATTTCTACAAATTAATATCCCGAGATACATACATATTAATATGTGGATGAATTAGACAAACCAGATATAAAAATATTCAATGAATACATATTTACTTGTTATATTATGCTTATATACCGACGATTATAATTAAAATTGCTGTAACACTCACGTAAACAAAATGATTAACGTTTTGCAAAGGTCAAGGAAGGAACATGACTATCGAGATTCTGTCATTGCAAATTATATGATTAGTTTCGATTAATTTGTTTTGTGGTAAGAGTTATACAATGTTATTGATGTGCGAGTTTAAATGCAAGACATTCAGTTTGAATGAAATACCCACAACCTGTATAAATATATATATATTTAGATAATGTATTTACTGTTGAGAATACAACGATTTTGGGTATATGTTTATTAATGAAACTAGCGTACATGTATTGTAAAGACGTGTGACCTAAACGTATAACATAACGCGACATTTTGTGCGTTTATTGTCTTTTATCAACGCAAAGTTATTACAAAATGAATAAATTATTACTCAATTCTACAAACGAGCACAAGATGAAATTGGGTGGACGGAGCGGTCTGGTGGCAAAGACAGTTTGAAAACATATATTTCGACCGTCTGTCTTCTTTCTTGCCTTTTTAGAATTTTGACAAATTAAATAATATTCCATGTGTTTAAAACCTCCTCCGAGTACGTCTCATCACATTCACGACTCCAGGCGTGTTGAATTTTTAAATCTGAACAAATCTGAGTAAAAATTGCGCATTCGTAAGACGTACACACACTGCTATGAATCAGCATCACTGGGTCGCACAGTGTTCATTCGAGTGTGTGAAAGTTTTGACAAATGCTGCTATATCTGCTGTAGTTTGCTTTCTACTACGGCAACCCCTACTCCAATTGTTCATCAAGACGTGATAAATAGTAAAAGTTATCCCTATTGCATGTAACTCGCAAAATTCCCACTTCTGCGCCAACATTGAGAGGGTGGAAAATATCGCATTGTCGACGTGGACATACCACCTTATGTAATGCATATCATTTTATGAGTTTTATTGATTTCCATTTGGTTGAAAGTATGATGTAGTATGGGTTATGATTCATGTGAGAGTCCCGGCGATCGTGAAATGTCCATGTAATGGTTCCACTGATGAATGGAAGTTATTATGTTCAATAAATCTCGTCCTCAAACGATGTTCTGTCGTTAAGAGAGTATGCAAAACGCACCCGACCTTTGGGGAGAGAACGCAATAGTTTTATGCGGTGGAAGACTGCAAAGAGTCGTTGACAGCTGTACAGCGGTTAGATGTGCATTGGAGAACAATCATATTTGTACAGTTACACTCTAGGGGAGATACACGAGTCGCGTCGATTTTATTTGAATCCCATGTGCGAGACAGCTACTAGTATTTGACAATGCGTACTGGTGTGCCACTGTGAATAAGCATTGCCCGACCATTCAGATCTTGATTGTTTGACTAGGTATCAGCCACAACTAATGCATTGACTGGAGCAGTTTATTATTTCGCCATAATTCATACATCTCTTGTTTCGAACACGCGTACATGAAACAAAACAAAAAAAATACAGACCATCTAATTACGTAAAGTTTTGTGTCTGTGTTTGGTGGACATGCAGTTCCGGCAATGTTGAAACTGTATGTTTTCAAATTCTCAAACATGGAAAATGATTATCTCTGAAAAGCGGCTATAAGTAATGTTGTAAAATAAACAGTGATATCACGGTGTAATTAATTCTCGAAATATAACTTAGACTGTACCTAATCAATGGTTGCTAAAGAGAGCGTCCCCATTTTAAACCGTTGAATAAAAGAAATGTTAAAATGAATAGAAATGTTCAAAATGTAAAATGTTCTTTTCCAGTCGACAACGCCCACCCGTGATGTAGGACGACGCTGTGAATAAACCAAAGCACTGTGTTCGAAGTCAACATATCGGGAAAACTGCTTGAATAATGCCTTCTATTGTAACAACACATACGTATATTTTTCATGTTTTCGAAAACGGTTATTTCTATCGTTAATAACAACAAAATTGTGACCTTTTAACTAGGATAGATGACTTGAAACAAATTCCTCAGTCAGGTAACTTTATATTTTACGATGCTGTAAAGAGTGCGAGTTATTGACATAAACGTAAGTCGAATCAGACGTTATCAAATATGCAATCCCCACCACCACTTAGGAAACTCAATTATGAAACCTCAACTGTTAAAATTGAGATAATAATGACCCATTTATGAGAAGCCAACAGCACGTGGCCTATTTCTGGAAAGCCAACGGCAAATAGATTTATTAACAACCAACGGCAGTAACAAGTACACTGGCTGTCGTTCTCAGCTTGGAACGGAGCTTTCGTGTTGTAGCAAAACATGTCTTATAGCTTGAACAGTCTTGCAGGGATATCCCGATAGCGTATCACGTCTGAAGGTGCAGAGCGTATATCCATGTGTGTTAGGGATTGATGATCTTCCTCCAAGTGTCATCGCGCTGCGTCGAGTTGCAAACGGGATCCCGTAAATCAAGTGACACACGCGTACTCAGATTTTCATTATTTCCTTTAATCAATACTGCTATTTCTCCGCCGTAATAGTTTGTCTTTCACGATAGGTCATTCTCCGCTGTGTTTATCAATACACAATATTTAACAAAACAATTTAACGTTATCTAGATTGCCGATTTGCCTGACAAGGTCGCGTGAGTTGCGCCCTCCGCGGTGCTCCAAACCCAACGCAGATTTTGCACGTTCTGGTGCCGTTCGTCCGGAGAAGGCGCCACTCACGCCTATATTTCAGGCTAAATTGCCGATTTAACACATTATTTCTTATTTATTTAAAGCGGTGGAGTCGTCACCTGCGCACGCGCGAGAATTGAGTCCCACGCGACAATAACAACGCACGCTAAAAACGCAAAGGCTCATGAATAGACGCTAGTTTGTAAACAATGACACGCTATTGCCCTCTGGCACATGCGTTAACATTAGAGTTACATAGAGTAAGCGACGATTCTTAATACCGCATTATTGCGAGAACAACGCAAAAAAAAAAGTAATTTCTCGGATAGATTATAATCTGGTCTCTCTGCAGTTTTTTTGCGAATATCAACTGACTTTGTGTTCTGAGGTCAGAGGTTAATTGTTTAATACTGTTACATTTGCTCAGTCAGTAATCACATTACAGAGCTCGTATATTAGACTCGAAAATGAAACGTAAAATTGTTTTTAGATTGGATTTTTGTGAAGGAGGGTTTCAATTACCAAACACTTAGTGCAGTTGTGGACGAGAAGATGTAGGCATAACCGAGGCCATTCTAATGACCTATTCAAATTGATTGGCTAAAAACGAATCACGTGATGCTAACCACTAATGCACTATATCACGGCACTATGATCACGGGAAAATAATATCGTCGGGGAGCAGACATAATTTGAAATTGCGTGTTGCTATAGCAACCATTTATTCTATCAACTTAGTATTGAACAATCATGCAGCGTTTAACTGAAATATTGTTTTGGTAAGATTAGCAGTAAGGTATGATCGCAGCTGCATTATCGGCAGTATTATGAAGGTCAAGTCCGACATATAGCGAGCAATGTCGGTATCCCATGTGAAAATTATGAAAATTAATATGCACAAAGCAGGCTTACCTTTTCACACCTACATACTACCTAAGTGCAACCACCTACACTCTATAGACAGTCACATAGAGTGTATAATGTCCATCTACAGTCTCAGGGTAGGTCATGCTACATTCTCTTAGGGTGTACTATGTCCGTATGCATCCATATTGACCTAGAGTGGACCCTGCTACATGCGCCTAGACTGGACTACACCCATCTACATGATTGACCTATAGTGGGCCATGTTACATTCGTCTAGGCTGAACTACATCCATCTACATGATTGACCTAGGATGGACCATGCTTCATTCGCCCAGACTGGACATTGTTTAACTACGTTTGCTGAAGGTAGACCATGCTTCATTCGCATAGGATGTGCAATATCCATTCGTCTTGAATGAACCATGCAACATTCGGATCACGTCCAGCTACATTCGCCGAGGTGGGGGGCATGCAGTATTCGCCTAGGATGAACCAAATCCGTCTACATTTGCCTATAATGGGTCATGTTCATCTACATTCTTCTAGAATTGACTACAATCGTCTACATTCTCCTAGGCTGGACATTGTCTATTTACATAGGCCTAGAGTTGATCGTGTCCATCTATATTCGTATATGACACATCTTACGAAGACAACGACTGTAGTTGCGTATGCCTTACAATGGTTTATTTACAGATAGAGTTCATATTCCTCTTCTTACAATCGGGTAGTTAGGCACCGTTGAAAGCAGCCTGGTCTCGATCAAACTATCGGTATGTGCACCTGTAGAGCTCCGTTGAAATATATGATTTATGATAACATGCAACGTGTTTTTTTTTTAAATATTGCTCGTCAAGTTGTCGAACTTACTCGGAGTAGTTTCATAACAATGTTTGCCATGTATTACATGTATATTGTTATTCGAATTATTCGTTATATACTGTGTTATCTTCCATGTGATCACTGGAAGTATATATTAATCACATCGTCCTAAAAACTTACCCCCTCGCGGCAAATGATGCGAAATACCACGCGAAAGTTTGGAGTGTAACGGAAAATCAAGTTTCATGCGTCGTTACTGGAACCATATCGAACCACTATAGCATTTTAACATAAAAAGGACTTGATTATTTCGGGAACAAACGTTTCATATATAATGCACGGTTAAATGCTAAAAATATTTAATGAGAATGACATCCCCCTGTAGAAACAACACCATTTTAAATAAATAGAAATTGTTAGACATGATTTAAGTGGCGTTCATATCGCTAGAGACATTGAACTCTGGAGAAGTGTTTAAGAGTGTAGTAGATATTTTCAGGAAATAAAATTCACACCTAATATTTTCATAGAAGAATTGTTTTAAACCATATCAACCCATATATTTCATGAAATGTTGTAATTCACATTAATCAATGTTACGTTAGATACAACCTTCGATTGGTCACGTGACCGCTAAGTAAATACATCCTGCATAGAAAATTAAAACGAGTATTCTGAAGAAATTGATACCACAGTTTTGTTTAAACATGTGCATAAGACGTATGAAACAAAACAGAGATTTTGCATAACTTTTTTTTCTTAATTAAGTGTCTATTTTTACATTTTTGTTCGTATTCACATTCAGATACTGAAATCGTACAAATGCTTAAATTTAACAAAAAACACTGACCAGGTATTGTTCATATATACCACATCCAGAGTCTCTAAAAACAGTGACGTAATCTGATGAGTGCCTGCTGAGTAGAACCCATTTGATTGATCATTTTAATATCCGAATTAAAACAAAGATATACACTAATTTGCATATCAGTAGATGTATAGTGGTATTGTTACATGTATATTGATTTTTTTAAATGGTCATAAAATCCTAAATGATCAATGATTTGACGTCCAGTAAAGTATAGATTATTGGTAGATATATAAAGATATTCTAAAATTATATAACCCTTGACTGTGATTTGATTATTTAAAATACATGCATATATGCAAATTTAGTCATCATAATAATGTTGGTTTTAATTTAGACCACTGTTTCAAAATATACTCCATTTATGATAGGGCTCTAAAATTTTCATAGCATAATAAGATGTACCTATCGATTATATAAAGTTTAAATAAAGTTTTCAAAATAGTGTTGGTCTGCCAATAAATACAATTCATTTGACCACAAGAAAAACTGGCTTGATTTGATGCGAAAATTATTCTTTATTGTGCATGAAATGAAGATCAAACAAAACAAAAATCTCGGTCGACTACTGTGGTACTGGTAAATGCCTACTTTCTGGTCATCGTCGCAAACCACGACCTTTTTACGGCAAAAGATTAGCCTTCTTCTGCTTTTGAGTCGAACAGAGAAAATCTACTGGCAAAAAACAAGCTCTGGCGTGTGGCGTGAACAATTCTGTCTCGTAGGCTAGACCATCTTCATCTACAGTCATGTATATATAATATTGCAAAATGTAACCTAACCACCCGTATCTGAAATAATGCCCCATTCCTAAACAATATACAGGTAGATACTAGCGTACTATTGAGTTCATTGTCACATTTCCACTATTGTGTTGTTCACGTCCATTTCCGAGCAGGCTTTCAACAAGACATTAACAGTTTAATAGCCTATTTCGTGTAAATTGTAGTGCCACTTTTAGACGACCTCAAAGCACAATGTGTTTATGAGTTAACAACTCAACAAAGGTCACACGTTGTTTACTTTACGTATCGCTACCAGTTTATTGAATTAAAAATCGTGTGTGAAATCAATGTGATGTGGTGTAAACATATCATATCACCATGGTGACGGGTTAGGTTAGTTCTATAGGAACTAGTAATTACTAGAATATTAATTGGTTTTACTCCAAAAAAGATTAATTGTGGTATAATCTGATTTGCAAATTTCCTCTGTAAAATGCACAAATTTAAAAGATAATTTTAAATCGAGTATCATTTTGACTCCCATGTGCGAAGCGCACAATGGGAGTCTTTGCAGTTAATGTGTCAAGTATTTTCAATACAAGTATTTTCGAATTATTTTTAATGTGTTTCCAAAACTCGCAGCACATGGGAATTCTTTCTACTGGCGGAGCGCTTCCATGATGTCAAGGCGAAGAACATTGTCGTTTAAATCGACAATTGTAATTGGTCGTCAAAGTCGTTCGTCGGTTCAGAATACAGAAAAAAACAATCTTCATTGATTTACGACTACATGTCATAACGATATTGACGTTTTTAACAGCTTTCAGATTGAAGTACTTCGTCGCTTGAGGGCGCAATTTATAAGTCAGGTGAAGTTTTATCAAAACCGTGCGATTCAGACGTTGGCCAGCACTACGGAAGCAGGAATAGTTGGAGATGTACACATATTGTTTTTGAATTACACATAACGCAATTGCATCTATTATCCTACTTTAAGGGTTGACCACTAGAAACTCAGAGGGGGATAGTAGAAAAAAAATGCACAAAGACAATTCCTTGAAAAAAAATCCTGCAGGGTTCAATGAACACAATTCTGAATGCGGCAGTCGTCGTGCTGCGCAAGTGCGATATTTGTGTTGATAAACATTGATTTTCCCATAATCCAATGCGCTATTCTAATAGAATCACTAGTATGAGGTTTGACCTGGGTGCGACTTGCACTTATTACCGCCGGTTACTCCTTTGATACCTTGCAATTACCTAAAAATACCAAATTAAAGTTTGGTAACGTCTCATTTTGTACTCGTTGATCTGCACAACAGTCAAAGTCGCCATATTTGTTTATATACCGACTACCGCCCTTTAATCTTAGCCCACAATAACTAGATTTTAGTGTATTTTTATTCTAAATATGTTTTGTTAAATTGTTTAGCTGTTATGTATAACTTGCCTTGAATTAACTAATGCAGACTGCACTCGCTATAAGCAAGCGGCAACGGGGACTGTGCCAGCATGAGTTTTCATTAGTTCCTTGTGAACTCGAAACTCGACATCAATGAACATCTTTCTTTACCGTGTTGTTTTCGTTGCTACGCACGGGATTCACGGAGAGCCACTACTAAGCCAGTGTTTGTTAGAGGGAACACGAATTCGGTGATTTAAAAGTTGTGTTGTAATTTAATCAAGTTGTTTTTCATAATTAAATAAGTTCGTCAAAACACTAGTTTTTAAACAAGTATGTTGTTTTTGTCATCCAGAAACAATCTTATTTAGTCAATGAGATCGTTGACACTTCAACTAAATTATAATTCTATTGCATATCGCCATGGCACGCCAGCGTGCGTTCCAACTCGATAAAAAAAAACTATATTATATTATGCGTTTCAAGGGACTTAATTCTAACACGGCTCGACACGATGACTGTGTTTTTCAAAAAATGCACATAATTAAGCGCATGTACTACTTAGCGTTTAACGTGTGTTGTTTTCATCGCTTGGGACTAAATTCCCGCGCGTGCGCAGGTGACGACCCTTCCGTTTTAAAATAGTGTTTGTTTGCGAATAATGTTGTAATTTTAATTTCAAATAAACGCGAAACATACAGTCAGATTTTTTTACACTGGCTCAAGAAGAATTTGTTCGATTGCTCATTATAAGGATCTCATTTCCGAGTTTTGACATACGTTTAAATTTCGAAAACCATGGACTGGATAATCGCGTATTGCAGCCAGATAAGTACGCTGTGTAGCAAACAAATGAATCAACATATATTCGCCACAATAGCTTGCCACTGGACGATACAATAATCTACCACGCTTCACAAAGTAACTGTTCTTTCAAGTTTTTCATCGCACAACTCTCTGAACCGTTCCTAGCGATGTTACCCTCGATATCTGTGACTTGAAAGGAATAACCGCGATCACTTATTTCTCAGTGACTTTAATCTGACAGTCACTCACTTTTAATTCAACATTCTGTTCTTCATTCTAGTAGTTTTAGCGTTTTGAGGTCACGGAAAGCAACCACAGCAAACCAAGAAAACCTAAGTCGAGTAAGTATACGGCATTGCACCCAATAAGAAAATAATGAGAATCACGTGGTCGACGTGGTCAACGAATTCTAACCAATTTATTTAGTAGTATTTAGTAGGAGAATTTAACTATAAGTGCTGTTGCAACGTAAACATGTTGTACCCACGTGAAATAATGCTGTTTCCCGACGCCATCTTTGTTTCGTTCATTTACAATGACGTGTCAGTACATTTCATCACTGGAGGGCGTGACGTATTGTTAAGGTGTATCTGTGTAAGCCACCATAGGTTGACGCCTATCATATAGCATATAGCAATGTTTACAAATAATTTTATTTCGTTACACTATGTTGGTATTTGGTGTTATATGAAATGTACATTCACATACGAACCTTTCCAAAACAGGTTACGCCCTCTAGCGATGGCCCACTTAAAATAATGTAGATAGGTTTTATAAGCAATGTCGTTCATAATCTGCTTGGCTGTAGAATCAATTAAAATATAACAAATCTCTCAATTCAGTGTTTCACTGACTGGCGACCACATGCCAATACAATATTGATGTACGTCACAGAAGCTCTCTGTCGCCAGAGGGCGTGCCTTATAAGAATAGTATATTCGAAGATTGATTAATCAAAACTGGGGAAGGGAAAAAACAAGTGGAGCAATACAGTGAATTCCGATGATGAATTAACCTAATCGTTTATTTCAATTTTGAATTTTAGACAATTATATTATCCGTTAAAAGTGGAGATGTAGCTGAGACGGAGGATCTCATCAATAAAGGAGCCGACATCGACGTCACGGAGGTAATATCGTTCTTGTAACCCTTTTTCGGTTACGGCGTTCTTTTTTCGAAGAGCAACACGGAACCGAAGGTTGTAATGAACCTGATCGTGGAAAATAACAAGCTTCTTACACAAAATACGCCACGTCTAACCGTCACTTATGGTTTGCAGGAGTCAGGCAGTTTGGTTCAAGGTCTAGATCAATATTACACTCCCCGATATAGAGGGCGGTATCAATTTTGGGTGAACAAAGGTCAATGATACATTACATTATTCTTTCTGCCATGTCACCGGACATAAAATTGCTCACCATTAGAGCTTCGAATACTAGTAGTTCAGTGAATTGTATAATGTGCTGAAAACCTGCCACAATGACGTCAGTAATAATGTAACAAATATATTTTCACAGAATGGTAACAATTTATTGCTTCTGGCAATTGTGTATGACCAAAAAGACGTTGCTAGGTTACTGGTCGCAAGAGGAATAAATCTAAACTATAGAAGCCAGGTATGTAGGTTAATCAATTACGTCACTGTCATCACAGTCACGCACAATATCATCACAGTCACTCGCAATATCATCATAGTCACGCGCAATGTCATCACAGTCACGCGCAGTGTCATCACAGTCACGCATAATCTCATTACAGTCACGCACAATATCGTCACAATCACGCACAATGTCATTACAGCCACGCATAATGTAATCACAGTCACGCGCAATATCATCATAATGACGCGTAATGTCATCACAGTCACGCATAATGTCATCATAGTCACGCGTAATGTCATCACAGTCACGCATAATGTCATCACAGTCACGCGTAATGTCATTACAGCCACGCATAATCTCATCACAGTCACGCGCAATATCATCACAGTCACGCATAATGTCATCATAGTCACGCGTAATGTCATCACAGTCACGCATAATGTCATCACAGTCACGCACAATGTCATTACAGCCACGCATAATCTCATCACAGTCACGCGCAATATCATCACAGTCACGCGCAATATCATCACAGTCACGCACAATGTCATTACAGCCACGCATCATGTCATCACAATCACGCACAATATCATCACAGTCACGCACAATGTCATCACAGTCACGCGCAATGTCATCACAATCACGCGTAATGTCATCACAGTCACGCGCAATGTCATCACAGTCACGCGTAATCTCATTACAACCTAAATACAATTGATGTTAGGAAGAAGTACTGAATTGTAAATCAGAAAAAAAAATGTTTAGGAAGATAAACAAAATGAGAAATACCCATTTTGTTTTTTAATGACGTGCTATCTATTGTGAAATTCTCATCATAATGGACAACAATGCTCATCACAATTTTTCTCTGTTTGTGACAGTCATTGAATGGGGTTGTGAATTGTCGCGTACCCCTCCCCCACCATCTATACTACTGATAAATTTAAACTGTATTTTCGTCTGAAAGGGAGGTGACGACAGAACACAGTACAAGTCTGCTTTAGATTTAACGGAAGAAAAAGGATGGGATGACCTATACGAATTGATAGAAAGAACGTCATTAGCAAATAAGGTGAGACCATAAACAACGCCACCTAGTGTTTTTTTTTTTAGAAATTATACAATGTGGGATGATTGTGCCATTGGTTAAAACAGATACCATAAAAACATGTAATTTCTTGCGTTGTTATTATATTAAATCTATGTATTTATATTTATATTCTCTATAGAATATACCGATGGCCGTCGTTGATGGCGATAGCAAACTAACGAAGAGTTTACTTGAACAAGGAGCAGACATAAATACCGTGGTAGGAATATAGTTGTTTTCCCAGCCGACATAACTAGGTCGTGAACACACTCCACTCAGAGTTTTGCCAGAATGTACGTCTGGTCCAACTGTGCTCGCAGTTACTGACTCATTGGCAGGGAGATGTTCAGTGAACACTGACCATTTTCGGTTTCACAACTTCTGTGAACATTTGAAAACTCTGCCACAACTAAAACTTCCAAAACAATATGGAATGAACGGGGTGTAAAACATTTCCCCTTTCACTCGCATATGCTAAGACAATAGCTCTGAGACTGAGTAAGATTAAACACACCTTCATACGTGGGACTTCGATTTTAATTTCTTTTCTACAGTAGAGGATACTAGTAAATGTATGTTTTTATTTGTTTTGTTTTTATACTAATTATAGACAGACACGGGTGAATCGCTGTTAATGCGAGCAATACGACATGGGCACTGGGAAGTGAGCGAATTGTTGATCAGTCAAGGAATCGATGTTGCATATGTGCTAGTTGTAAGTATACTCCCAACGGTGGATAAATGTAGGTGGTGTTTAAACCTGCCCGGAGTTCCAATTCAAATCACGCGACGTGAAATGAACCGAACTGAAGTCTCGTGCGATGGGAGGGTTCGTTCCATTCTCCTTCCCAGAATTCATTGCGGTTAGATCACCGAAAGTATATATATTATATTCGTAGAAATAGAACTCTGCCTGGGAGATTGGCGCCCATTAGTACACAAGGACACGACGCAGAGTATTTTATGAGAGGGCGCTGTAAAGCAGACTTATAAAAGTAATCCCATTACGTTGGATTCTTGATAATCAATGCTAGCCCTGATGTGGTTGTCTTTATCATTCTTATAAGTTGTCAAGATAAACCAACATATACTTGCCTCAATATAAAAATCACACTGTACTCACTACAACAGAATTGTTTTATTCATTTTTTATATATTTCATGACTTGTGATATTTCATACAGCAAAGACACCAATCAGCGAATGGCAAAATTGAGACAACGAAGGAAACAGCCAGAATATATGCCTCTAAGTACGGCATGCCAGATATAATACAACTCATCGACAGACGGGAAGGGGAGTATAGACAACAGGTAGAGGACCATTCGTAATTTTTCCAACAATCAATGAGCAGTGAGAGAGGACGAATGCCCAAACTCAAGAAGTTGATAAATACGTGATTTGGCGACATTGGTTAGTTGCGAGCGTCAGGAGAAACCCATCGCCGAGGGCGCAGTTTGTACTAAATATCTGCCCAAAAATACCCTGTTGTTTCACCAAAGTCGTGTTTATTTCACTGTGTGTCAAAAAACACAAAAAATCGCAATATGATTTTCTAAATTTCAAGAAGATTTTTCGCGAAAGCCCCCCCCCAAAGAATGTTTTTTTTTTATTATGTGGACATGCATACGTGCAATATGATTATTGTTCTTTCGGGGATAGTAACTTATCTGAAGTCATTATGCATACTCAAGTGATGAGTTGAGATGGTAACGACGACAAACAGACACGGATTCCTGCTCTCTCTTGACATGAACTATTTTTTCTTCTGTGTTCAAATTCTAGGGGATAATCGTGCAGGATCCAAGCGAAGCAGAACTTCAGATAAATGAAAAAGTAAGTACAAATTTCCTGACACCCAACCATGTGTGTCAACGCCTTTCATAGTGGCGCCGCAGGGGGCAGAATACACATAGGTACGAGTTTAGTATTCAGTCACATGTTTTATTTACCTGCACGATTATATTCGAAGATTTATTTTAATAACCTTTCTTTTGTAGGAATGTTATTCATTTTTTAATATTAAATTGTGGGCACCAGACTAATTGAGTATATGTGTTAAATTGTCATACTGTTCAACTTTTTATATTGTCGAATTTACACGAGTTGAAATGTAGTGTTTAATCTTAAAATACTTCATCGCCGTTACCATGGTAACGATTATACGACACAGCTACATGTATACCACCGAAATTAACATGTCCCGCAATGTATTGCATTTCAGAAACCCGTCAACGAAGACAAGACTGACAGCGAGAAGCAGCGTTCACACACATGCGCAGTACTGTAACATGCAGTGAGGGCAGACGACATTATTCCAAATCACTTTAATATCACTTTGTTTAAAAAAGTATTTTTTTGTAATTTACAAAACGTTGTGATATGCAGAACAGATATATTAATAGTAGTTCTTGCACAGCTTGCGAACGAATAAACACTAGAACAGAATAACAGGACTGCCTGTACGGATGTTTGTCAGGCACTCACGCCAATGCTACATTGCTGATTTGTGTTGTCTGTGGAAACACTAGCCATGCACTCGCCTCAATGGTGCTTTGCATTGTTTGTGTTTGGGTCAACTCTGACTTTAACATTAATTTCTAGGGAGCGCGTGAACGTACTGCCACTCGAAATGAAGCGTGGCTGTAAATAGCAAAATAGTAAGTCAGAATACATAATTCGTTTATTAAACGTGTCTACAGACAGGTAGCGTGCATTCAATGTACACGCTATTCTCTCTTCTGTTGTACATTTTCGTAACAAAATACGAACATTGGGAGTCCATTTCTCTGGGAGGGGTATAGGTGTTGGATAAACATAACACTTAGACAATTTGGTAAATAATACAAATATCGTATGAAGTAAGTGTAGCTTACAGTGAACGGCACAAACGTTATATTTATAATCTTTTTATAAATAAAGATGGCTGTTAAATTTCACATTGACCAATCCAGGAATGGCATTGTAACTTCATTGTTAGGGCTAATCTGCACTGGCTCGGAAGGTTGTAAATGATTAGCTAGTTTTAATTTGCATAACAATACTGACAATGAACGTGCATTCAACGCCACAAGTTTTTTTGTTTTTTTAGCCAATCAGAATTCATCTTCCGAGCCAGTGCAGATCAGCCGCATTGTTAGTTTGAATTTATATTAATGAGCTAGTTCAATATCACCCAATCAGCAAGCACTTAATTTTGAATAATTGGGCAGTCGCGTGCGCATTATTGGCGTAAACAATGCTGAAGTTTTAAGTCAATCATTATAAAACATTTGAATAAAAGCTTATAATGGGTATTTACAATAAATATGTTTATTAACTGAGGTACAACTTCTGTCTTTCACTGTATACAAATGATTTATAAGACAACGAAATGACCTCATCGTATAATCCCTGCTTATACCACAGTTCTTGGACTGTCCTTATACACATTTAAATGTCTCATCTCTTAATATATTATCAGTATATCCAATGCATGACATTTATAAATGAATTTGCATATCCAAGTCTTGTATATTGAATGCACATTTTAGTCAAATTTTGTACCAGTCATGAGCGTGTTGTCTAACTACTTTTTTACTACAAAAATATGAATGGTATTTACACCAATATTGTCATAATAAGTGATGAAATAATATTACTTTATATAATTTTTTGTATATTTGTAATACGATTATGTCACACGTTTGTATACTGAGAGCCGATCGGAGTCCCCTGTCCCATGTAGCCTGTAGTATAGAGTAGCAAAGTGCTCAAACCGTCGTACAGCTAGACGATGACCTTAAGTTTTGTCATATTTTGCATAATAAATAAAAATTAGTCTATTAGAATAACTCGTTTGTGGGATTTCAGGTGTGCCCACAGTGATTTCCCGTCAACACTTTCAATTGTAGGTTCGCTTCGAGACCTAAGATATTGGTTCTGGACCCACACGGTTACCATTTTTAGCATATTTCATTAGGGACGAACACCTTTAAAACAGCAATTTCAAATCATATTTTGCGATTGGCTGTTCTAAATTCCGAATTCAAAACTTGGGGTACAGAAAATGCATTTCTGATTGTATGTATGTTGCCAGTTTTCCAGTCCATGTTGCGATTGCAGGGAAAATTAGGTAATCAATTGTACACGAAGATTGTACACAGGAGTCACTTAAACAAAACTCTCGGGTAAAACCACGGGCTTATAGTGAATTCGTCTGGGATGCCACAGTAACTCATGAAATCTGAAAATTATCCATTACGGGCTTTTCTTTCGAGGGTTAGCTTGACTTCTCCGTTATTCCACGATGCTTTGCGCAAACACCATGACGGGACAACGGACTAGTTAGGAGTTACGAATAAGTTATCACGTTACCACGCACACGTATAACGAAGTAAGTTCCAACCAGAACTGACAAAGCGAGTGAGAGCCCGGGCCAAGATTAATTGAAAGTCACAGCACATATCACTCATCCTGTAAATACTTAATGTACATCTATGTAATCCATTGTTAAGAAAATAATAAATCAGAACTTGAAATATACTAAATATGTGTTTTCGTTTGTTTATTTAAACAACCATGAATCGCAATGCTATTCTATGTATTTTTATATTACCTCACACCTTGCAAATAGAAGTGTGCATGGGATCGTGGAAAGAAACGGTGTACATTGCCGTGTGGTAACTGTCATAAAGGTGATTGACAGGTCATTCGTTTTTACAACTCTGGCACGAGAATTTAAATCTAGCAGGTGTGCTTGTGATTTACATAACAAAGGATGTAATCTACTGACTTGCTTTTCGAGGGCCCGCATGCCACCGTGAGACAGCTGCTAGCAAGACCACATTCTGATTGGTTCCTGTGGAAACCCAGCTGGTATATCTGGAACTGGCCATTTACGCTCTATAAATGGGCTCGATTGAAGACAGTTGTGGTTAAATATTTCAATTGAATACTCTGTGCGTTGCTGCTGAAATGCCGAAGCTTGTCACAGAGACCAAAGAACGATTATAGGTGATAGGTCTTATTGCAAGACAAAGAGATTCTACAGACAGTGGAACTGTGGGCAGAACAATAAACAACAAACCACTGGTAAACACTAGTTAATATTGGAATACTAGTTGAAATTACATGATGTAATTTTGAAAAACGTTGCCTAACAAAACAAAGCAGTGTTTATTTTCTCTTCTGGCGTTGTTTCTTGCTACAGATTGGAAGGTATGCTGCCACGTGTTGTACTCTATTAGTTCACATCAATATTCAGTATATTATTTTTTCTTGTCACTGTCCTGTCACCTGACTTGTACATGTATTTCCACATGCCAGATAGAAAGTATATATATATGTTTCACCTGATACATCTATGATTGTGAGTTGCCTTGACTAGTTTGCTGAGCGTCCTGGCAATTATTCATGATGCACTACGTAAAATAGTCACATGTAAACTGTTGGAAATAAATGCAACAATCAGACACATCGGATAACAGCGTGATATATAGTCAGTGATGTTAATTTCAATGGCAATTTGTCTTCCTTACGCCAACTTAAAATCGCGCCCTCTATCGATTTATTATGCACCCGAATACGTAACGCACCAGGAGGTTGTTTTGCCGTCTATTGTTTTCTTCAGTTATTTGTTTTTTACCAATGCATTTTTTAAAGCAGAACAGTATCCAGCTTACGTCTTTCCGTCACGTGTTAAGTGTTTTAGCCTCTTAAGGGTTTGTGTTAAAAAATGGACGACTTCTGAATTGGGCTATAATAATATAAATAACTGCTATCAAAGCCGATAAACAAGCAATACGCGCTGCCACATACGCGCCACACGATAGAGGGCGTGGTTACACATTCTCCATGGCAGCACATGTGGTTACATACACCTCTGTCATTTTCTCGGTAACGAAGTTTTTCATTGATTTGGTTGTGAATTCATGCCTATTTAATTAGAAACGCGTATAGTGTTTTATTTCCTAGTTTATTGAGTACCTCATTTTTCTAATTGTGAATTTATAGAGAAAGGAACAAGCGTTTCATAGTAATTCATATTGTCTACACATTTAAATGAGTGTAGTGTAAATAAGACGTATATTGTCAACGTTTTAAGGCCATGATTACATATAGTGGGGTTGATTACATTTTGATAAAACAAATTGCATATTTGATGATTATTCGTGAGATAGTATTTTTTATGGATAATTTAATTTTCCTTAATAGTTAACATTTACACACATTTTAACTCGACAAAAGCGGTTAAAAGTTTAGACAGTGCTAATTCTCGAATCACTTTCAATTCTTGTGTATTTGTATGTTTGGCCACTCATATATCGTGATCTCGTTGGTGTCTTTCGATATATCATCGTTCGTTCGGATTCGTACACGAGTACTTCCATTGAAAAGTTCAGTTTTCATTATATTTTATGCAAATGATACTCCTATATTACGTAAATGATGACGAAAACTTACTAATAGTTGAAATGTTACATAAAAGTTAGCTGATGAGAAAGGATATTCAAGTGTCTTTAAGACATTACTTCAGTTTACTTGATTCTTACTTAGTCATTAAACTTTCAGTATATTTAAAATATATATTAAACCTTGTAATTTGTTGGTTTGTGTTTGGTTAAAAAGAAACAACAAATACAGTAACTAAAACATTACACAGCCCAAAAAATAACCCTTCTCTCTGACTTCATAGTGACATTCACAACACGTGCACAACAACTATGGGGTGAGATCAGTGCCAAAAACATTTCTCTTAGCTTTTTACCGTTATGTTCACATTCTGTTTTCATTTTGTTAGCTTTTTATAATTATTTCATCACTATTTTTTTAATTTTGTTAGCATTTTTACATTTTTTCATCATTATGTTCACATTATTTTTTAATTTTTTTAGCATTTTTACATTATTTCATCATTATGTTCACATTATTTTTTAATTTCGTTAGCATTTTTACATTATTTCATCATTATGGTCACAATATTTTTTAATTTTTTTAGCATTTTTACATTATTTCATCAATCATAAAACTGGTTACAAACCAGTTGAGCGAGGCTAACCGAGTCTTAAACTCTGTGTGGCTCGCATCCAGTCTTATTATTGGTTGTTGACACATTCTGAATAGGCCACGCCTCCAACTGTGCCGTGCTTTCGGGACAACCGTTAATTATTCGTAAATTTTTGTAGTTTTCTTGATTTATTCATAGACCCTCTAAAAGAGGGTCTATGATTTATTCTAGTGATATCGGTAAAATAAAAGTAAGTCTTTGACGAAATTTAAAAGAGCAACTAATATTGTTCAAGCTAATATTTTTTATAGATTTTATTTTTCAACCTTTTAAAAAATATGGGCTCACTGGAGCCGTCATCTCTTGTCCATTTCTTACACTAGATACCAGCCGATACCCCCCCCCCCCCGCTCATAGGGACTGTGTACAGTTGATTATAGTTCCTGGGCTCCCTATGGTTCAAGTTGGTTCAAATGGGAGCTCCTCGTCGCGTGACGTCAGAGATGAAATAATGTAAAATGCTAACAAAATAAAAAAACAATGTGAACATTATGGTAAAATAATATAAAAATGCGAACATAATGATAAAATACTATAAAATACTAACAAAATGAAAAAAAAGAATGTGAACATAATGGTAAATTTCTAAGAGAAATGTTGTTGGCACTGATCTCACCCCATAACCAACAAGCTATTGTTGGTTTGAACCACTGTTCGAGTTCATTGGCGATAAATACATACGTCATAGTTGAATACCCTGCGAAGGGATACATCACAGTATCCTCGGGGGCGGATATCCGGGCATTTTCTACCGCCTGGCAACCTTCGCGGTGAAAACAAAGACCAACAACTCACAGAAAACGGTACTTTGCGATGGTTGTTGAGAGTGCCCTGAACAGTGTAACAAGATTAGCCCTACGTGTGTAACATATATGAATTTGGTTGTTCAGGATTACTTCAAAGTTGAGTTTGTGTTGTTTTCTCGAGTTTTCACCGGCTCCACAGGCGTTCCACAGCAGCGCGCACAAAGCCCATAGAAATAGGTGGTACAGTGGTGCGCGTCTTAGCAACGTAGAACGTCTGTGACGTAGCTCCGCCCCCGAGGATATTGTGTGCATAGCTCAATATTAATCTTAATTCCAGTGATTTGCATTTTTTGGGGAATTTCTGACTCACCTCCTCAAAGAAATTGTCTTTTGTTTTGTTGTGTTTTTGTCAATTCTTCGAAAACATGCATCTTTTCATTTCTCCGAACTGCATTGGACACGTGACCTGATTTGACCAATGACAAAACCAGTGTATGAGTACTAGTATCTTTGGTGGCACGTCCATTTTGGTACGCCGAGTGGAATTAGAACGAACTCACAATTATTTCACACATTTGCAGTCAAGGTGAAGACCCGTCATTCTAAATCTATCGTCATGGCAACAGCAGCTCCGTCTGATAAATTCCTCGACGAGATTGACGAAACCTTTCTGAGCTGTGGTGTATGTTCTGAACGCTACAGTAACGCCAAGGTACTTCCGTGTCAGCACAGCTTCTGTGAGCATTGTCTCATTAAGTTGGTGGAAAAGACCGGTCAACCCATTCACTGTCCGCTATGCAGACGTAAACACGATATTGAGGTATCTGATCTTCCAAATAATTATTTTATTAATGAAATTTCAGAAGCGTTTAAAAACCGCGATGTTGGATCACAGGAACCGAAGCAGTGTGTGTGTGAAAAGAGTCATGCTAATCAAAGATGTTTGGATTGTGCCTTAGATATTTGCGACGCATGCGCAAGGGCACACCTCCGTATGCCACTAACACAATCACATCGTATCACCTCATTGGAGTCGTACCAAAGTTTGATTGTCAAAGACCCTAGTTCAGTTCATTCGGCTACGTACTGTGATAAGCATACCGATTCGGCTGTGAAATTCTACTGTGATTCATGTGAAGTAGCAATCTGTCTAGAGTGTACAGTGATTGATCATCGTGATCATAAGCAGAGATATCTGAAAGACGCTGCAGCGGAGTATAAAGACGAACTTGTAGCAAACGCAGAACAACTAAAGGTGAAAGAAAATGAAGTACATGACAGTAAAGATACAATACAACGGATGGTTGATTCGTTGGAAACACGCTATCGTCAAGAAAAGAAACGCCTTGAAATCCACACGGAGAAGACGATTGAAGAAATCACCAGAAAAATACGCAATGCAAGCAAACAACTGATGGACGAGCTAAAAGATGAATACAAGAATAGAGAAGTGAATTTAAGAGTACAAATAAAAGAATTGGAAAGTTCTGAAAATTCAATAAAGTATGCCAGGGAATACACGAACAATCTGATGCATTATGGGAATCCGGTACACATGATGTCAGCAAAGAATGGAGTGACGTCACTGTTAACAGAAATACAGACACTAGAGACGAAACAAACACCAGTTGACGATGACGACATTCAGTTTATTCCATCAGATAACTCCTCCATGATACAAGTACTCGGTGCATTGCAATGTAAGCCAACATATGTCATAGGTCATGTACCAGATATGACAAGAGTTGGTGACAACATCAATATCACTGTGACCACAAAGAAGGGAAATGCCTACACACAAAAACAGTCACTGAGAGCAGAGATAAAGACACCGGATATGAAGACTGAAGACGTTGAGGTCAAAGACAATAAAAATACCAGCCTGTCTGTGAGGTACACTACTAAGATGATAGGTGAACATGAACTCTCAATAACAGCTTATAAAACACATGTATTTGGTTCACCTGTTAAGATTAATGTGATTCCAAAAAAAGGATTATTACGTAAATTTGGAGGAAAAGGTTCAGCAGTAGAACAGTTACGTAATCCATATGGAGTAATTATGACCAGGAATAGAAATGCATTGGTGTGTGATACAGGAAATAATAGATTACAAATATTCACATTAGATGGCAATCATTTAAATTTAATTGAATTCACAAATTTTGCCGAACCATTCAGTCCAAGATATTCAGCAATATCAGATGATGGTTACATATTCACAACAAGTTACAAAAAGGTTGTTGTGTGTGATGTGAACGGGAAATTGATAAGAGTGTTTGGCAGTAAGGAATTACAGTACCCAATGGGGCTGGCAATTAGTCCGATTAATGGTAATGTCTATGTTGTTGACAATGGATCTCATTGTGTGAGAATTTACAGTCAACTTGGGGTTTATATGACGTCATTCGGGAGTAGTGGTACCGGGGATTCACAGTTCAATGGTCCCTGGGATATTGCTATTGGTAACACAGGTAATATTATAGTGTCTGACCTTCGCAACAATCGTATTCAGATATTTGACAACAACTGCAGATTTTTAAATGTATTCGGGGGTCGAGGGACCAAGGAAGGGGAGTTGAATAGCCCTCAGGGTGTAGCTGCAGATACAGATGGATGTGTGTATGTATGTGACTATCATAACAATAGAGTTCAGAAATTTGACCCACAAGGCAAGTTTATTGCACGGATTGACAGCATTGAAGATGATGTTAGTAGTCATAGAGGAATATACGTCACTGATGATAAACCATTTGGTAAAGTAGTCGTTACAGAGTGGAATCGGGGTTGTGTAAAAGTACTTACTCAATGAAATGTGAGATGTGTGACTGGAATTGAATCTAAAATCAAGTTATGTTATGATCTGACGATTGTGCCATTTTTAAAGGCAATGTCCAGCATTGTAATACCATAACAAAATCAAAAAAGCTTATACTCTTGACAATATTTTTGCCTAGATATAATGTGCTGTCTTGGTGAAAGTAAAAAACAAACATTATTTTTTTTTAATCCATTGAATCTTGTTGATGAATATATGTGTGTTTTCAGAAGCGTTTAAAAACCGCGATGTTGGATCACAGGAACCGAAGCAGTGTGTGTGTGAAAAGAGTCATGCTAATCAAAGATGTTTGGATTGTGCCTTAGATATTTGCGACGCATGCGCAAGGGCACACCTCCGTATGCCACTAACACAATCACATCGTATCACCTCATTGGAGTCGTACCAAAGTTTGATTGTCAAGGACCCTAGTTCAGTTCATTCGACTACGTACTGTGATAAGCATACCGATTCGGCTGTGAAATTCTACTGTGATTCATGTGAAGTAGCAATCTGTGCACAGTGATTGATCATCGCGATCATAAGCAGAGATATCTGAAAGACGCAGCAGCGGAGTATAAAGACAAACTTGTAGCAAACGCAGAACAACTAAAGGTGAAAGAAAATGAAGTACGTGACAGTAAAGATACAATACAACGAATGGCTGATTCGTTGAAAACACGCTATCGTCAAGAAAAGAAACGCCTTGAAATCCACACGGAGAAGACGATTGAAGAAATCACCAGAAAAATACGCAATGCAAGTAAACAAATGATGGACGAGCTGAAAGATGAATACAAAAATAGAGAAGTGAATTTAAAAGTACAAATGAAAGAATTGGAAAGTTCTGAAAATTCAATAAAGTATGCCAGGGAATACACGAACAATCTGATGCATTATGGGAATCCGGTACACCTGATGTCAGCAAAGAATGGAGTGACGTCACTGTTAACAGAAATACAGACACTAGTGACGAAACAAACACCAGTTGACAATGACGACATTCAGTTTATTCCATCAGGTAACTCCTCCATGATACAAGTACTGTAAAATGACTAATTTTCACTGGGTTTAAATTTCACTGATTTACCATTTCAGGCATATTCAGTGGGTTTTAAATTCACGGTTTCGTCATTTAGATAATGTGTTCTATGCTAAATTTTACATATTCACTGTGTTTTAATTTAGCGCATTTTTCCAGTCAGCGAAATAAGCTAAATTAAAACCCAGTGAATAATTACCCCCTTTACAGTACTCGGTACATTGCAATGTAAACCAACATATGTCATAGGTCATTTACCAGATATGACAAGAGTTGGTGATAAGATCGATATAACTGTGACCACAAAGAAGGG